CCCGTTGCACAACTGATTACGCGCTTTCTAACTGCCTCGTTACGGATTCGGCGACACCAACCCACACGAGCTTTGGTTTTGAGACAATGATTGTCGAACACCTGAAGACGTCTCAGGTGTTCACTTTGTACATCGGGCAAATCTCGAGTGGCATAGCAGATAGGCCCCAAAAGCATATTACAGCTGAATGATTATCTGCATATTACTAGCATTCCACTGGGAGATGACGACCACTCAGTTCGTTCTGTGTATTCTACTGGAGGATACCCGGCGACCTAGTGCTTACAACACAAGTCCTCATGGACCCAACCATTGTTGTTGGCTTCTAATTATCCATTTTGATTGTGAACATCTCGGAAGCACAATAATGCAACCGTCTTGAGTGTGTCGTAGGAATTTTGTACTATCCGTCTTCTGTACATCCATAATATAGCCAGCTGTATACCAGCTGTAGCAACCATCCAACCTGTTTCCGCCTTATCTCCTGGGTTTGAAGAGCCTTGCTTACGCAGTTCCTCATAGACAGTATTTCCAGAAACGTATATGTACATCTGTGCATCCAAGCATTCTATCCACCTGGAAAGCCAAGTGGGTTTTTCAGCCGGATGTAGGAACAGTCTACGGTTCGAACCCACGCCTAAATTCCTCACTGTTTACAGTCTAAGACAGCCTGACTTTTCAGTGTCACGGCATTCATGCATCCTACCGGACATGCACCAATCCTTACAGACACAAATAGGACAACTTACGCGTTTCGTTGGCCAGATTGCAGCACATGACTTACCGGGTGCATACCGGATTCCCCACCAAATGGATGGTGGCATTGTCGCGTGGTGAAACACGTGCAGGAAAGTCACCTGATCAACTTTCCCGCGCCACAAGAAAAACACAGTATCCAACATTTCGACAAATTTTGAAAAGTAGAACAAGTATCCAAAATACAGCAGGCTGTCCGTTTGTCTGTCGTTCGGATCCGGTTGAGTTTCACACCCCAGTCCGTAGCCCAACTTTGACACGGTCCCGAGCGTGCCAATGACCATATAGGCGGAGTACAGGACCATTATGAAATTGTACAGCACCATCAGGCATTTGACAAAACCCCAGGAGTTGGTCTGCATATCTTTGGTGGCGGCCGCCGTACTGGAATTTGTGCCCTTTTGCTGCACCTTGCAACGTTTTTTCAGCAACTCGTTTCGCCATGCGTACACACCCACCACATAAGCCAGGGAGATGAGGGCAGTGGGTGGCCATGATCCCATCAGTGGATAAGCATCCGTTCGTGGATCGGGATGAGGTGGGAGAACCGCACTAGCCAGACGCTCCCACATTTTCCCTTCAGGTGTTCCGATGGTAATCCTCCTGGAATCGATTGTGGATGGGTGTGCAAGCGACAACCAGCTCGGAGTGCAGCAAAAGCTGGGCGGCAAGCGCGTAAATGTGAGCGGAATGTGTGTCAACCCGGTGTGCTCATTACGATCGAACGGTGATTGGTCACATAAAGCAGCATTCTGATTGGTCACGCGTTAAATCCTGTGCCTATTGGTTACGACTTTGTTCCGGCCGGACTGAGGCCGGAACGGCTGCAGTTTTGGCGGATTCCAACCCGCAGACAGCGGTTGTACCTGTCACAGGCTACTGTGCGTGTTGTGCACCTGACAATGGCAATACTCGCCACGCAGCACTGGTGTGAACACGGGAGATGATATCTGGTACTGCAAATTCGTCAAGCTAGATAACATTCTGGTGAATTGTGTTCCACCAACTACACCAAAATGGGTCATTTGTTAGATTAAATCAATCGCTCCAACTCAGCGTACTGCACCACCGACTGAAACGGGTGAATGCAATTATCTCGTGCATCGTGTTTGAGTAGCTTGATTGGATTTGACTGACTGAACCTCATTGTGTTGCACAGTCGTTGAATAAAACACCTCGCACTGTCTGGTAGACGACTTTGAACCGATCTGCCAGTGCAGCGTTCCAAGATCCGCCCGGCTGTGATGACTTTTCATCACAGATGCAAGCAAGCTTAGTCTAATTCGTATGAATTAAACTTGTGCGCACTGGTCATACTAGGCTTCACCTGGCTGTAGTCAACTACGGTGCTTCTTCAACAAAGTGCTCTCTAGTGTCGATAGCCATACTGTGATGGCCATATAAAAACGAGGGCTATTTTATGCTATTTGTTTACAACAAAACGAACATGGAGTAGTTGATCTTCCTAGATGCCAAAATACCTGATACTTTGTAGGGATCTTGCGAATTTACTTCCTGACGGCAGTCCCAGATGGATGCTCTTTCCGCCGTGAGGAAATATACGCTGGTTTCAGAACTAACTAAGTTGCGAAGCTTTTGGGGGTCTTGCAGAGACAAAAACCACTCTGAAGTGAACAAACTGGGGCTTGCGGTTGCATTGACGTAACGGTAAGCGAACCCGACCAGGCCGAGTTCACGGTATGAATTTGACAAAAACATGGTGAGGAAATTTTTCAGAAAAGAACTGGGTAAGCTCAAGAATAAGGTGATCTTAAAGGAGACGAGTCTCCCTCCCATACTGTACTATGCACCAAGCTACTTTGCTCTTCAGCAATAAACTGGCGTTTGTTACCTTCGAGTGCATCTATTTGCCTGCACACTCTAAACAGGGGAATCGTTCAAAACCTAAAAATAGTTTATCAGAGGCGGCTGATGTCAACCTAATCAATTCAAGTGCGAAGCAGCTTCAACCCAAATTTATCTTTAAACCCGCTAATTTGTGGAACAGAAAGGCAGATAAAATCGGTTGTGGGTTGTCAAATAGTGGCCTTATGAGTAGTATGTTACGCCTAGGTAATGTACTGCAGTATCTTAAATATCGCGCCAATTGAAACATGGGGCAGCCTTGCCTGGCGAATTCAGTTAGAGTGGGAGATCAAAGGAAGAGATTCAGCTCGATTCGGTTCAGGCTTCTGTTAAAACCAAATTAGAGTGTAAATGACGGCATTTGACAAATTCTAACTAATTTGGGTTCAAGTAGGACATAAGCTTGCCGGAAACTCGGGGACTTTGCGCACATGAATAGACCCAAGAATAATGGAAGAAACCGATCTTGGGCTGTTGAAGGCATTCAACCATCAGTGTAAGGATGCGGAACGTCTGGAACTATCCACTTAGTACGACAATTAACAGATGCTTTCAGCAAATATGAATTCGGAAAACTGGCTAGGCACAGCAGATCTACCACCACCTTGCTGAGCTTTCAAAAACAGTGTAGAGGACTATGACGAACATGTTGTAGCATTTACTTCTGCGCTGCAAGGTCAGTCATCCCACTGTTCGCCTGATTTTTCAGTGTGGGGTTGCTCGGCACCGAAAAGCTGATGTTTCTCATTACTAAGACATTCACATTGCGCCAAAGAGCGAATGAGGCTCGCGATCGCGTGGTTAGTTGGATAAAGCCAAATATCGAGCGTATTGCAGCTCATTTGATGTCTGTCTGACGTGGACAAATGAAATGCCTTTGCTCGTGCGTAGAACGACTGAAACCTTCGGAGAGGAGCGTTTGTGTGTGTATGGGGGGGGGGGGGAGCTGTCGATGCAACTGGAATCCAACACGGAATTTGACCCATTTTTTCTGCTGTGTGCTTAGATGTGTTGTTACTGCTTTTGCACATGACGTAGACATTTTTTTAAACACTTAACCATTCGACCACGAGCGGCTGATCAGCAGTGTGATTAACTCGCAACTAGACAGGATATAGCGCCGCTCATCCTTCAATCACGGGATCCACATCACGTGGTCACACGTGTTGACTGGCTCCTCGAGCAACGACTTCTCAGAGGAGTTAATCACTGCTGATCAGCCGCTCGTGGCCGAATGGTTAAGTGTTCAAACTACTAGCCAGGAGGTCGCGGGTTCGAGACTCTCCGGAGTTTCGTGAGATGCGCACTGCTGATGATTCCCAATAAGGATGAAACAGCTGTACAGTGCTTCTCGGCTTTTCAGCGTAGATTGGTTTCACTTACAGGACGAAATCTCAACAAAAATCTCAAATCTCCTCACACCATCAACAGTTTTCTTACATTTGAGTCCACCGCACATTAACATTCACTCACACACTTGCATACACAACAAACACACACACGCACGCACGCTCAGACGGACGGGCTGACGGACAGATCAACCAGCATGCCTAGTCTGAACAATGCTTGATGATTACTCACTTTTGGAGTCAAGCTTACATCGATTGTTTGGTTCAATTCCACATTATTGATTGCCACCGGCTGTACGGACGTCTTGTCGTTTGTTGCGAGCACAAAAACCTGTTGTGGCACAACAGATGGCCGAGCAAACAAACTGTGGAAAGCAGAATTCAGGAGCAAGATATGCAGATGGAACGTATCACGGGGCACTGACAGTGTGTGTATCTATTCTCAATGTCAACATAATTTCACCACCACTATAGTGATCTAGTTAGCACACAAGACTGCGAGTTAGACATCAAAGCAGCCAGGGAATTCAATCTGAGTTCGAATCACGGTAAGTGAGTATAGACAACAAGATATCGTTCAACTAAGTGAAAAGACTGGACTTGTGGACTTTTTTATTGCGATTTACTAGTGTGACGCGAAATGGCGTAAAGCAAAAAACCGACGTGATTAGAATATGGGATCTGTTCACTGTGCCTCCATCTTGTAGGTGATACTCTCGAAATGACTCGTCCATATACTGCTAAAGATAACACTAACTGGGACTTATCCATTTCACTCTAAGAGAAGTCATTACGTCAGCTTTGGAGCCGTACGCGTCTGAACTTTTTTATACTTGCTGAGCTAGTATTGCCTGGGGGTGGTGATCAGAACTACAGGGAGGATAGCCGAAGCTTTAACAAGACAGGTCACGCCGTTGAAGAGTATTTTAAACGATCGCCGTAATCACGATTCACTTGAGTCTCCCTTCAAAGCCAAATTAGCTCGCAAATGAGTGTAATTTGACAGTTGAACAAAAGTTTGATAGAAACTTGGGGACTGCATTTACATGACTAGCTACCAGTAAGGTGAAATCGTTCGTGGGTTTTCTTTCATCGTTTGAGTAGTATGTCACGTCTAGACTATGATATCTCGAAAGTTGTGCCAACTGAAACACGAGGAAGCCTGATGCAGCACATTCAGCTAAAGAATAACATCGTAAACGAGACATTCAGCTCGGTGTCAGTTGAGTCACCTGTGGAAACCAAATTGGTATGCAAATAAGTGTATTTGTCCACAGATGAGTTGTTTCAAAACTTTCGCTTCTTTTGAAAATGCAAGTTTTTTTCGTCAACTTGTTCATTCCAGTGTTTTTGTAAAAATATTCTCCGTACCTGTCCCACCAATTTATCTCCTGTTTACACATTGACAGACCGAGCTCAAAACCGTTTTTCTTACCTGATTGAAGAAATACATCCAGTAACTGTAGATTATGTATCTTTGATAGGACTCATGCGCTTAAGGCCAAATTTTTGCGAACCGATAGTGTACGACTTTCATCGAGAGTCTTCCTGCTTTTCTGATGTCGGCCTCCTGGATCCAAGGGCGCCTTTTCGGCCTAGCCCCTGCTTGCGGGTTACAGGCTGCGTGACGATGAATTACGAATAGTTATTTATTTTGTACTACTACTACTAATAATAAATCGATTTCGTGACTCAGTCTAGTTAGAGGAGGACGGAGTTGTGATAAAGACATCGTATAATGGGCCGGTTGTGTGTCGGCACTTCGCAGATGCCATGTTGGCAGGTTGTTCGCGTTTCACCCCTACCTCCAGATAATATCAGTAGCATACCAGTGCACGACTGCAAACCAGACAAGAACGTCGTGATTAACGTCATGGCAACCAGACAGAGAACAATACCTGTTCGTTCTCGCTAACGGGCCTGTCCACACCGTCTAACTAGGACGCAAGCGCTGACCAAAAATCAGGTCATGACGTCGGGGACGGAAGCAAAGCCAAAGATAGGCTAGCAAAAGCCGGCTGACCATTAGTTGAATATCGATCTAGACAAACATATTGATCACAGTTCAGTAGAGGTTTGGTCCGGTTACGAAAACAATAGAGGATCCATTAGCCGACGGCACATAATTTGGTGTTTCATGGAAATCGGTCGTACAGTACTTTTGGAATAGCGAACTTTCCAAACAGGAGATTAGTTCATTCTAAACACACTCTCTTCTCGTATTGTGGAAAGACTGACCGTTTACGGGCATGACATGAACAGCCTCGAAAATGGATTCGGAAGCCACTTGGAAGTTTAGCCTATTGTCCTGTTGTTGGCAGAGTGTCAGAAGAACCCCTTCGTTTCAGTGTTTCCGGTGGAGTGTTCGAACGTAAGTCCACTTCGGTCAGTTACCGCGAACACCGAGACAACGTCAGGTTACCAAAGCCTTCGTTAGAATAGAAAAAAAATGCGAATAGGTCTGTCCGACCAGTCAACACTGGTTAACAATTAGATAATATTGTAGCCTTATATTTGGATGCCCTGGGTTCGAGCCTTGAAAGGGAAGTTCTGTTTACCTGAAAAACTAATATATTTAGTATTTTCGCGTATTCAACCCCTTGTTGATCAAAACGAGCAACCGGCAACGGAAGTTGCCGTTGCTCGATTGAAAAGAACTCTATAAGGGGTAGGCTAGTAGGCTACACACCGATTTTCAAACCTTGGATCAGCAACATCCAAGGCAAGCAGATGACTGAATCCTCCACATTAGAAAAGGGTTTTATCATGAGCAAATTTGAACTTTCCACTAGAGACTTCTCTCTGCAAGTGCAGTCAGTCTATTCGGAATGACTGAGAAGCACTGTCGGGCTGTTCCATCCTTACTGGAAATCATCAGCAGTGCGCGAGTTCCCGGTGGACCACGAAAATTGGTAACTACACTCGTCTGTCTGCCAGTGTGGTCTTCACGGGAGAAACACTTAAATCCCAGCTGAATCTCTCGTTTACGGTGTTCTACTTTGGATCGGCGAATTACTGGGTTCTAGTTTTTGGACGTGCGAGATGAGCATGGATAAAGGAACATAGAATGTCGATATGTGACCAGCGCGAGTCGTAGTACTAATTGTCAGCCTTGATATAACTTAACCTTTTGTATTTACTCGGTCAGTACCTTAAAAGTTCATAGTTTTGAAACTGGGTATTGGACAACCTGTCTTTGATAAACTACTCTGCCAGTAAAGAAATCAACACTGACCTTAAAATAAGTCCATATTGCTGCAGAAGTGCGTCTTGTTTAAACCACTGTTTTGTGACAATAAGAGCGTAGTCCGTCAGATGTATTTGCTACCGATGTGACCTACCAGTATTCTTACGGTTTGCGAGACGCCTATGTGGGCGGAGCAGACCGATGTTATCAGAGCCGGAGGCTGGACACACCATGCTACTTCAAAAGGCCGAAGTCCAAACAGTGGCCCAGGATATCCAAACATGTACTGCAAACAAGCCGGCAGAGGGATCAAGAAGCCCGCTTGATGTGGCGTTGTATAACCGGAAGTTAATGAGTTACGGATCAGGAATCACCGGCCAGTGGTGTGTGCGGTGAGTTTAAGAGGGAAACACTCGACTTCCGCGGTTTAAGTTACGCGGCTTTACCTATCCAAACTTCTTGCTGATACGTTCCTGTATAGAATCAGCATGGAGACAGGGAATGATAGCATTCAGAGATGCCAGAGGAATACACTCATTTGCATACCAATTCGGTTTCAACTGGAGACTTAACTGTAACCCATCTTACTCTCGTTCATTATGCTCTTGATGAACCTTCAACAGCCTCACGACTAGTGCTTCACGTCATCACGTGTACTAGTGCGAAGGATAAAAATATTTGATATCTCAAACTACTCGTCCGACAAAAGTAGCCAAAATTAAAAGTAAGTTTTGTCAAGTGGATACTAGTGGAACCAAGGTTTTCGGCCGGAAAAATAATCACAGCAAACCGAAATTCATAAGATTTTGTTTTTCAATCACTATGAAATTGCACATCAGGTCGAAAAATGGTCATGACCATTAAATCAAAGTGTTGTCAACATCATACGACAAAATTGCGCTACACGGGATCGCTTAAACTTCCATTTAAGAGGAAGGTTTCTTCACAATGAAAAATGAGGAATTATCGAAATTTCTCCCTTCTTTGAGGCTTTCCATAAGCCGAGGTTGTTGTACTCCTTGTGAGAAGTTCGTACGCAGTATTACTGAAGTCCGCATGCTGAGTTGCTCGGGAGTATCAATACCGGTGGGCTGTCAGCCGATTACCTGAACCTGACTTGACTGTAAACGAGTTGAAATTCTAATCTTCGGTCACTAGATATCAGGTCGACAGCGCTTGCATAGTTCAACTTCGCTCTTCATTTTAGCGCGACCAGGTAAACCGAACTTCCCTCGTGCAATGTTGCTCAATCGATTGAGTCCTTTAATTTACATCCATAAAGACTCGACGGCTACCTGGGAGCCACCCTGAATTTATTGATCGGTCACGTCGCGCCCCAGTTCTATACGCAATAAGCTTAGAATAAAGCCAGATCACGGTATTTTCAGGGAAAGAAAAAGAATTTCACTATGTCCGCGTCTGCTTGGGTTCCTTCAGGCAAGCCAGCGAGCCATGTCGGAAGCAACAAAAACATGTTATGCTTGTGCTACTCAGTTCGTTTATAAGTAGTAAGGTGTACGCACATGCGTACCTAGAGATTTAACGCTGTGAAAAAACGGGCCTCAAAAGAAAGGTTAAGGCATATTTGTAATGTACTTCTCATAAGGTTGCTGAAAATCCATCGACAGCCCACGACCGGTTTCGCCCTTCTTGGGGCTCATCAGGTAGGCGCAGTCCCCGAGTTTCCGTCAACCTTATGTTCCACTTGAAGGTTGAGGCTGTTATTTACTAGGTTGTACACAGCTCTGTTTACCGACACGACGAAACCTGAGATGAGTCGGACAGTATACCGCGTGAACTAGGCTGGTTCCATCGACTGCCACAGGACAACAATTTCAGGTTCATTGCAGTTGGAACATAGAGTTCACACAGGTGACTGATGTTCTTAAGAAACAATTATGTGACCCCCTGCTTTCTGTGACAAAGCAGGCTGATGAATGGGATCCGTAGGTCATCTGTGTCAACAAATGCGTGGCTAAGGCTGAGGCAATATGTTCCCAAAACGGATGGATCAAATATGTCGGTCTAATCTGGCAAGCTGTTGTTCACGTTTTCTTGTCTAAGCGGAAACATGGAGATATCCAGGGAGAACAAAATGGGGCGGTTTTCCCGAGGAATTGTGACAACTTCGTTGAACCCGAATTGAGTGGATTAGGGGTTGGGAAAAAGAATACGGTG